GATCTTGTACTTGAGTAAAAGTAGAAGTACTCAGATCTTGTAGTAAAAGTAGAAGTACTCAGATCTTGTTCTTGAGTAAAAGTAGAAGTACTCAGATCTTGTACTTGAGTAAAAGTAGAAGTACTCAGATCTTGTACTTGAGTAAAAGTAGAAGTACTCAGATCTTGTACTTGAGTAAAAGTAGAAGTACTCAGATCTTGTACTTGAGTAAAAGTAAAGTACTTAGATCTTGTACTTGAGTAAAAGTAGAAGTACTCAGATCTTGTACTTGAGTAAAAGTAGAAGTACTCAGATCTTGTAGTAAAAGTAGAAGTACTCAGATCTTGTACTTGAGTAAAAGTAAAGTACTTAGATCTTGTACTTGAGTAAAAGTAGAAGTACCAGAGTGTAGGAATACTCTGTTACAGTAAAAGTCCTCATTCAAAATGTCCCTCAAGTAAAAGTAGAAAAGTATTCTCATCAAAATATAGTGAAAGTACCGACAGTAAAAGTAGTCATTGTGCAGATTGGTCCATTTCAGAATAATATATATGATATGTTTTATAATGATTGATCATGAAAGTGTTCTCAAAGCTGGTAAAGGTGCAGCTAGTCTGAATGACTTTGTATACTGCAGGGTAGCTTGTGGATTTACTCCAGGTGGAACTAAAGTCTGATTTAACACTTGGTTATATTGTTTTTCATTAATCTATATCTATTAACTAAAGGTAATCCGTAAATGTAGTGGAATAAAAGTACACTATTTACCTAGTGGAGTAGAAGTACAAAGTAGCATAAAATGGAAATACCATACTAAAGTAAAAGTACCTCAAGAAAACCTGAGACCTTTTTGCACATCAACAAACATCCATTACATTCATATTTATTTGCATTTGCAGTATAGTAGTTTTGTTCCAGCATGGTAAACAACCTAAGTTAGCTTGCATCAAAATAATCACATGCTTTTTGTTTGACAAAGTTATATTTGCATAATACATGTTTGACTGTCATACAAACAAATGACTTCTGTAGGAATGAGCACCAAGTCCAAAGTAAATCACATGTTGTGGACGGAGAGTCTACATTCCTGCAGCATTTCAGGAGTATTTTCAACATCACACTTTGACTTCATGTAGAAAACTATTAAGTTCATATTGTATATTCACACTCAGAATCAATGAAAGGCAACTCTTTGTATTGAATCTGCCAGCAGATCTGCAGAGCCTGAGCGACGATATCCTCTGACATCTTCTGAGCGTAATCCAGTATCTGTTTGCTGACTGGATGAAGGTTTAACGATGACCCATCAGCTGGAGTCTCCTCTGAACATTTCCCCTCCTCTCGGTCCTTTAAAAACACTTCTGTTTCATCCTCCTCCTGATGAACGATGTCCGTCTCCTTCTGTTGCTCCAAACCGACCCAAGAGAAGAGTCTGGACACTTTACATCCCATTCAACGACACACTGAAGCTGAAGTGGACAGGCATCTGAAGTTCACTTCCATGAATGTCGAAGGGGGTTAGGGGTTTCCCTAAAAAAAAAAACATTTCATTACCTAAAATGTTCTGTTTGGCCATTAAAAATAAAATAAGTTTTTAAAAAACCTCTCCCAATGTCAACTGTGTCCAATAAGTACAAATAAAAGGCATCCACATTCTGAACACATTGTTAAAAACGCACAAAAGTCCCCATTTTGAAATAAAACAAATCCAGTAAACAACCTGAGGTGATATTTGAATGTTTACCCTGTGTGATGCAGCTCCTCTCCGGACTCCCTGCAGGTTCATTTGATGTTTGGACAGCCTGCAGAGTGGCTGAGACACAGGCAGCTGAACCTGTTCACTCCTCATGCAGGGGGGTGGGAGGAGCAGCGGATAACACCCAAAACATAACATGATCATAAAGAAGCGTCTTTGAGCTGTATGAAAGCGCTATAAAAATCAAACACAATATTTGGCTTTAAAGAATAGTGTCAGTGATGCTACCTCTTTAAATCTCCCTTGTGATTAAAAAAAACCTCCTCACAGCCAATCGTAAAGTCCTGAGTCCTGAGGACAGACTCATATCGGGCAGCGTCACTGCACCGACCCCTTCTTCCCTGCAGGATGCTCCTCTTGCTGGGCCTGGCTTTCTTCCTCTCTGCGAGTTGTTCCATGGAGATGAACCAGACCTCCAAGATACTGGTGGAAGGTGGAGAGCAGTGTTCTGCCTGCGACTTCCGGGAGCACAGCAAGCAGATGAGGCTCCACAGCATCAAGTCCCAGATCCTGAGTATCCTGAGACTCGAACAGGCTCCCAACATCAGCCGGGACATGATCCGCCAGCTGCTGCCCAAAGCGCCGCCTCTGACGCAGATCCTGGACCAGTACGACTCGCGCGTGGAGGAAGAGGAGCACGCCACCACGGAGACCATCATCACCATGGCCACTAAGCGTAACTAAACCAAACATATCTGTCATTTTTATACGTCTTTTTTTGTTCTACACCTCCACGGAACGCCGTAAGTAAAACAAAAGAAAGAATAATCCATGCGTAAATCCTGTGCGTAAAGTTTGTTTCAAAGTAGAAAAAACGGGACAGTTAAGCCGTAAATGACGAAGACGTGCGTAATTAAGCTGTTCCCGACTATCAAATATTATAATCACTTTCAAAGTCTAATTTGTGACCTTTAATTATAAAATACTGACAGCATTGTAGTTTCAGGGAGATGTTGGAACTTAAAAAATCCATAAAACAAACATATATATATCTGCAATTTAAAAACGTTCATGACAAAAGCTTTTATGACAAATGTTCATGCCAGTAGTATTTTGAGAAGACTCATATTTTGCGCTGTGTAAAAGTGACTATATTTAAGAGTAAAAAAGTCAAATGAGTCTTCTATTTGATGAAGATGAGTGAAAACGTTTCATTACTTTACAGCAAATGGTAACATGCTGTGGCAATGTTGGTCATGTGAAACAATAGATAAGTCATTGTATTATTTTAATCCTACAACAGTAACAGTAGAGGAAAGGTCATAGGGTCAGGAAGAACTTTATTCTGTACATTATAAATACTGTGAACAAATTTGAGGGACATCAGGCTATCACTACAACAGAATATGGAAAAGACCAGGGACGTGCACAGACATTTGGAGGGGCTATTGCTCTAAACTGGAAAAAGGGCCTCCCCCCGAAAAAAAACATAAGACCTTTTGAAAATTGTAACTTGTTTTTAATGTAAAAGAAACCAAACGATTATTACATCCACTAAATTGAAGAGTAATTCACATCTCATAATAAAATAAGCTAAGGCGACTACTTGCATTCGGTGACTTGATTTAAAAAATAAAAACCAGGGACATTTTTTGTTTTGCGGTCCATATCTCATTAACATATCTAATGTTAACTATTAAAGACAAAATGGGGACAATTCTGTTCTAATGTAGTTTGACCATTGTAACTGCAGTCCAGACATACTGATAAAATAGGGCCTCTAACTAATTACCTTAAATAAACTCACTAATGAATGAAACCAGTTCAATACGCATTATTCTTATCATTCTTTATGAGCGCAGTAACGGTAAGGTATCTAATTACTTATTTATTTAGTATTCCATAACTTAGTAGCAGAGATGGTCAAACTAAAGTGAGACATGGCAGAATTCCTACAATGAAGCGGGACATTGAACTGTTCACCCGTGAGAGGGCGATCAAGAAAAGAGAGCGAGCGCCCCGTTGAGGGAGTTCACAGATGAAAAGACACAGAAAGACAGAAGCACAAAAACAACAAGTAGGCTATATTTAGGTGTTTTTTTGTAAATAACCGACGGTATCAAGAGGAAGTAAAGTCCCCTGGTTTGTCCCTTATANCTGTAAAAAGCACGACCAATCATCTGAGCCGGCCCGGCTAAAGTAACTGGATGGCCTACCTGCCTGTCAGCCTTCCATCTGTGCACAAACTTATCTCGTAACCTCATTGGTCATGCGCGCTTTCGTGTGTGTTGGAGGAGGGGCTCTGTAAGGAAGTGGCAGATTTTTTCCGGCTGTGTATTTTCAAATTCTAGCGCACTCGAGCTGGTTTCTCCAAAATTACCTACCCCACCTTTAAATAAACTCACTAATTAATGAAACCAGTTCAATACGCATTATTCTTATTCTTATCATTCTTTAAGCACAAAAACAACAAGTAGGCTATATTTAGGTGTTTTTTTGTAAATAACCGACGGTATCAAGAGGAAGTAAAGTCCCCTGGTTTGTCCCTTATACCCTAACTGCCATGAGACAACTCAAAATCAAGTTTCCAAAATCCCACACTGAGGTGGTCTTAACGCACCGGCAGATGACAGCGCTGACAAAGTGTGTTTCCCGCAGCGAGACGCTACAATACTAATTGTGGGCTTATCATGTTGATTCGGCCACAACAGAAAAAAGAAAAACAAACTCTCACTCTCTCCAGAGGGGCAGGTCAGCCAAAAAGGCCAAACGGGCCGTTGCCCGGGCAACATTAGCCCGTACCTGTGCACGTCCCTGGAAAAGACTGTCGATCCGAGGCATATTTAGTCCTGACGGTGGTGCTAGAGGAAAGGTCAGGGGGTCACTAAAATAAATGGGGATTCATCCTCATTTTGGACAAACCAGAAAACAATTCAGGATGGTGGGAAACGGTATTTCGATCTCTCTGTCTGTACACACAAACTGAAAGATTAACAATAAAGTTGACTTTGACTAATATACATTTCCTCCAGCTAATCCCATGGACCTGGAGGAGTTGTCCTTTTGTTGTCTGTTCAGCCTCAGTCCGAAGATCCAACCCAAGAACATCCTGCGCGCTCAGCTGTGGGTTCACCTGCGTCCGGCCGACACAGTGACCACCATCTTCCTGCAGATCTCCCACCTCAAACCGGGGAAGGAGGGAAACAACACGCGAGTGCGAGTCCGCTCACTGAAGATCGAGGCTGACGCCGGCGCCGGATCCTGGCAGAGCATCGACATCAAATCTCTGCTTCAGGCCTGGCTGCGCCAACCGGAGAACAACTACGGCATCGAGATCAACGCCTTCGACTCCACCGGACAAGATCTGGCCGTCACATCAGCGGAGCCTGGAGAGGAAGGGCTGGTGAGTGTACCAAGACATATTCACTTGTACTTGAAAAGCACTTTGATTCTGGAATTTTGTGAAGATCCAAATTAAGTTTGATCTGTGTGGGGTCAAAACCAAAGTGCTGACCTAATGTTTCACTGAGATCCTGCACACACTAGTCTGTGTTGGATGTGGTGTGTGTGTTACATGTTGTGATCGTGTAACACACACACTAAACTAAACTAATGTTTGGCTAACTGCTTTACATGGCACTATGCAAGTGGTTTTTCTGTTGCATTGCCTGCACATATTTCCAACTCTCTTCCAGCAACCGTTCATTGAAGTGAAGATCCTCGACAACCCGAAGAGATCCCGCCGTGACTCCGGCCTCAACTGCGACGAGGATTCTTCAGAAACTCGCTGCTGCCTCTACACGCTCACCGTGGACTTCGAGGAGTTCGGCTGGGACTGGATCATCGCGCCCAAACGCTACCGGGCCAACTACTGCTCGGGGGAATGTGAGTTCATGCACCTGCAGCAGTACCCGCATGCACACCTGGTGAACAAAGCCAACCCTCGAGGCTCCGCGGGACCCTGCTGCACGCCCACCAAGATGTCGGCCATCAACATGCTCTACTTCAACCGCAAAGAACAGATCATCTACGGAAAGATCCCGTCAATGGTGGTCGACCACTGCGGATGTTCCTGAGGGAAACCTGCAGGAGGAAGGCATGGAGATAGAAGGAGTATTTACACATACAACCACTGCCCAAAAGAACATAAGGACTACAGACCAATAGCCCTTACCTCAGTCATTAGGAAATCATTAGAAATCATTCTTCTCTGTTTTCTTATCAGTTCAACAAAAGACAAACTTCATCCATACCAATTTGCATATAAGCTAGTTGTGTTACAGAAGAAGCTGTTGCTGCTCTTGTTCATATCACTAACCATTTAGATAAGGACAGGACTTTACAAAATATAGTTACTCTCATGTTTATGTTGTGCAAAGTGTTGTGTTTTGAATAACTGTCCACTGGTGGGGGAACATTTGAATGCACACAAAGTGAAGTATCCCTGCTGCTTCATGTCCTCATGGCTTATGAAAAGCTGTCCTGATTTGAGCCTTGACCAGAGCAAACCCTGCAGGACTTCTTCCATGTGCGCCCTTTATTTTGAAAAACATGAACCTAATGGCCGAGCTTACATTGACCTTTCCCTTCCCAAAGCTTGTCTGCAAACTCCTCGCTGTGATCTGTTCTTTGTGAGCGTAACGGGGATAGGCAGAGAGTTCTTAGAATTGTTTTGAACCTGAACAGCACAATGAAAACCTCGGAAATCAAACACAGTTCTTATCACTGGGTTGCATCAAACATTTTCCTTCTTCTGTGCATTTTTGCAATTTCTCTTCTTCATGTTCCCTAGCTTGCACGCACTACACATTTAGAGGATAAAGAGTGGATGGATACTGGATTGAAAAGCAGTATTTCAGTGCCTTCAAAGTGACGGAGTTGGGATGAGAAGTGCACCATTTAACCTTTTTAGTGATGTCAAAGTATACTGACACACCCTTTGTGTACAATTCTACATCACTGCAGCAGGACGAGGTGCTGAACACAAGAGGTCAGCAAAAGCAAGATTGAAGGTGATGAAAGACATTACAATGAATGCTATTAGAGCCAAAGGACCTCCTCATATACACAAACATTGATTTGCATGGCTCTAACACAAAAGAAGACCTTTAACTTTCACCCTAACCATACTTTAATGGAAGAAAGTATTGCCAGCGTTTAAGTGGATGTTGTGTGCTGTAGTGTGCAAACAGTCGGGGAAGATTTCATCTGGATCCATCTGCCAGTTTCAATGTGAGCGCAGAAACTGTGATCTCAGGGGGAGGCTTGAACTCAATCCGAAGCCATGTGCAGATGTCCTGAATGTTGTTGTTCTTCACGGGGCTTTGTTCTTCTGCCGATGGAACAGAACGTCCACGGATAACAGCGAACACAACGTACAAGATATCTGGTGCATATAAGATAAGATGAGAGGTACTTTATTGATCCCAATTTGGTAAATGTTTGACACAATATAACGCAGGATATTATTTACATTAAGAGTGTAAATGTGTCCAAAGAGAAGCTATGCAGCAGTGAGTTCTCGAATAGTGGTTTGCTTACCTGCTGAAAAAGGCAGATTGTTTCATTATGCTCATCTCTATAGGTTATAGCTTTCATTAAATAAGACACATGTATCCACTGGAACAGGGGGGTCAAACTCAAATACACAGCGGGTCAAAATAAAAAATGGGTAGGGCCGGACTGGTTCAATGTTTATTGCAGAACTTATTGAAATGAACTTATTGAACATATTAAACCTGGAACTAACAAAGCTTAAATGATTGCCTATAAAAACAACATTAAACATTAAATAATCAGCTGCATTCATTTCTTATGGCTCTATCTGCAGCTTTTCCACAGTCATTTCTTATGATTACATTTTTCAACAGCTTCAAAAAAACTATTTCCCTCAAAGAACAAACCAAACATGCCCTGTTGTCGTCAGAGAGAAAGTGCAGAAGGAAACATCCATTAAACTCAGCTTGCTGCTCTGTGATGCTAGTTCAGATACTTGACATCTCATCTTGGGTGCAAGGTCATCAATGTTTGGGCTCAGGCTCTGAGCTGAGGAGACCCTCAGGATGGAGTGAAGGTGTGCGTTCAATATACCGGCGGGCCAGATCTAATAGGAATTAGAAATTATCCTGCGGGCCGAAATTAAATCCACCAAGGGCCTGATTTGGCCCCCGGGCCTTGAGTTTGACACATGTGATATAGACTCTTCTAGCATTATTTCGATTTAATTTGTATTTACTTGCACATCTTGCAACATTCTCTTGCACTATTTTATTTCTATTCTGTTATTTCTTGCACTATTTGTATTGGTTGTGTCTGTTTGATGTCCTGTATATTCACGTTGCATCGTTGAAGGAACCTGGGACTTCAGTTTGTCATGTTCATATCTACACTGTAGCTACTGTGCAATAGGACAATTAGACTTTGAATCTTGATGAACATGAGGCTCAAAGGAAAAGATGCTTTTGTAACTAAGTACAATTACTCAAATACTGTACAAGGCAAGCTGATTTATATATCACCTTTCAACTAATGAAGGGATCTGAACACTTCTTCCACCATATTTTGAATGCTTTTGCAGTGCAGTTGCAGAGCTTATTTCTCTGCCTTGCTGTTGGTTTTTAACCAGGCCTGTAACCTATTAGTTTTATGTCTCAGTTATGGTTGAAGCTACATTATACTCCCATAATAAAGCAGCTCACTGTTTTCTCTGCTGGAGTTTCTGGAGGTAATTTAAATGTTGGCTTTCATATCGGTCCCATTGGGGCTTCAGTTTGTGGCAAGAAACCGTTTTTTAAATACTTAATCATGAAAATTCTAATGCAATTCAAAACATTTGGGCTGTACTGTTTCTCTGGCTTAATGATGTTGTTATTTTAACTTTACATACACACCATACCACAGAGGTTGTGTGTGTGTTGTGGCGACGTGTTGCTGCTGATTACAGAGGAAACGCTGTCACACAGTTTGTGTCGCTGCATGAATAACAACTCTGTCCATTCGACCCTTATTGTCCATCTCAGATTTCACAGTGACACTCTCAAATTAACCTGTTAGAGAGACTTTCTAATGAGGGAAGTCTAGTGTCTAAATGTGGATGCTTTCCTGTCCTTTTTCATGTTGTACACTGAACACTTTTACAGTTTAGGAATCGCACACAGCTGCTGTGCCCTGACTGGAAGTGACAATAGATGCAGCTAAATGGTAGCAATAGCTATGTATAGCAAATAGCAAATCATTGCAGATCGCTCAGTTAACACAATTTATTAAGTAGTGACGAAGAAAAACATACACACTTTTATTTTTGTAGTGCTGTGTTGACAAATGCAACTTCCATTAGCCAAGATGGCGGTTTCTGAGTCAGATTAGTGTACAGGGTTGAACCTAATGAGAGGAACATTAAGGTACTCATAGTGCATTTTGCTATACTTTGCATTAGGACAGAAGTACACCAATTTAGACACAACAAGGTATTTTATGGTTAGTAACCATTAGTTTTAGCCTGTACAACTGCTACAGATATGGTCTGATGGAGATCTGATGAGGTTTCATCAGAGGTGGAAAAAGTACTAAGATAATTTACTTAAAGGTTGGGTAGGTAATTCACTTCAGAAACACTTGTTGTTATATTCCATGGAATGCTCTTAACATCCCGATAGCAATGAATACATGAAATGCTTTGACAATAAATACGTAGCAATATTTCATCTGTGGAAGCCGTAGCGCTGTAAAAAGCACGACCAATCATCTGAGCCGGCCCGGCTAAAATAACTGGATGGCCTACCTGCCTGTCAGCCTTCCATCTGTGCACAAACTTATCTCGTGCCCTCATTGGTCATGAGCGCGTTTGTGTGTGTTGGAGGAGGGGCTCTGTAAGGAAGTCTGAAGGAAGAGGGAGATTTTTTCCGGTTGTGTATTTTCAAATTCCAGATTACTCAAGCTGGTTTCTCCATTCTTACCTACCCCACCTTTAAGTACATGTATTATGCCACAGTCTGAAAATACTCTGTTATGATTAAAAGTCCCTCATTCGTTTTTTAACTAAAGTTACATAATCACAAATACCAAAAGGACCATTACAGAGAATGGACGTGAATTCTAAACTGTGTATTATATGTCTGGATTATAATTGGTGAATTTAATTATAATCTTGCAGCTGGTAAAACTTAAGCTCTCTCTTCACACTGCCAGGTAACCTAATCCATAATAGCATATCATAATTCATAAATTGATACGTTTTGTAGTTATAATATGAACCTGCTAAGTAACTAATTTAGTACAATAAGTGTAAAGGAGTATCTAATATATTCATTTTCATTGTAGGGACAAAAACACTTTCACATCAACAGAGCAGTGCTTTCCCTAAATTCCTGTTCAAATCTTTAAATCAAAATGAGAAAGGTGCAATACCAGTGCATCTTTAGGATCACTAAACGCTGAACACTTCCTATGACTCACACGTGTAAACGAACCTGTCGTCTCTGAGGCGCTGAAACCCCCTGAATGGCCACTCGTTTCAGATGAACAGTGAAAGAAAGGTCCCTTTATGGGGGGAATTCCATTCAGTGGGGAATTCTCTCTCTTTATACCAAGGTAGGGGTATTTGAGAAGGGTGTGTGTGTTTTTAAAGGCCTACCACTGACCACACACTTCCCTGCTGGCGGTGGTGGGCCCAGCTGAGGGGAGACATCTTTGTAGCTTGCCTTGCACCACTCAAGATCTAATAGTTTGTTCCTAATACTCTCCATATACGTTGAAGGAGATGATGAAAGAACATGGAAAGCTGTATTTTGGTTAATACAGGTGGATAACACATGTATTAAATAAAGCATTAGCCCAGATGTTTTAATTCAGGTTTGATTAGTATTAAAGGGATGGTTTGGATCTTTAGAAGTGGGCTTATAATAGGGACCTGTCCATAGTTAGTGTCTTACCTACAGTAGATATCAGTGTTACAGCAAGGAAACAAAGCAATGTAACGAGGGTCCTTTGCAGCAGCATTTTAAACTCCTAGTTACGCTACCGTTAGAATATTTTCAGCACTTTATCGTAGCGTCACACAGCCATTTCCTACAGACAACAGTAGCTGTAATATCCATCCATGCTGTCTTTGAAGCAACTAGACTCCATTGACAACAACATGTAATTTGACCTTGAAGTACACAGGAGCATGCTGGTCCACCACTGCGTTGATTGTTATCTCATACCTGTACAGTAAGTGTCATTTTGTCACATGGATGAGCAGAAACATACCCTTCAAATCACAATCCAGGTCTAGGAGGCGATAGTCCAGCATTAACGAGACCCTCCAGAAAAACGCGGGCTAAAATCCTTGATTATGCGATTAAACATGCGGGGTTTTTATGTGATTTTATACGGTGAAATATGCGGAAAGTTGCGAAATATGCTAAATATGCTTGAAAAAAGAATAACAATTTTTTAAAATATTGGGCTGTCTTATTTATTCTTTCTCACACACAACCTGCCACTAACATTAAACCCCTTTACTTTTCAATTAAATTACTCGTTCGTTATCTGACCAGCTTCAATCTTGTAGGCTACTCACTTCGTTTCTTGTAGCCCTCGAAAGGGTTTTGGAGGTTGATGCCTCGGTGAACGTGAGTTGTTTGGCTTTCTTGTCCGCAGCAGCAGAAAGCATTTTCGAATGTTTGAATGAATCAAAGTGGGTCGCCACCGTCGATTTTTTCTTATGCTCCAACACACAGTTGCACGGGGTGCAGAATAGTTTCCCCCCACTTTTTGCCCGGTCTTTAGTAGAAATGTTCGTCGGTAAATGAGATGGATTAGATTTTTTCATCTTGGTGTTTTCTCTATCGTGTGAGCTCCACACGTTCACTCTATACAGTGTTGTTTACATTCTGTGATGCGCGAGCTGATGACGTCACGTCAAGACGAGTTAACTTTTTTTTCTCTCAATTTTGTGTGGAAAAATGCGGGGATTATGAGGCCTTTTAGAAATCTGCGCCATATTGCTGATTATGCGGTAAATTCTGTGATCGCAGAATCGCGTTTTTCTGGAGGGTCTAATTAACCGTGTTCTTCAAAATGTAATTTCCCTTTTTGTCCATGGAGTCTGATTGCTTTAAAAAGGGAATACACAGCGTTATTTGTTCCCCGACAGAAAGGGCTACCTGAAAGCAACGTAAAGTACGAAACATTGTCAAAATATAGCAGACACTTAAACTGATATTGCTTTTTTAGGTAGGCTTTCTTTTAGATGTCTAGAATAACTTAGCGGTACATTGCTTAGCTTTCTTTTACATTATGGATAAGAACCTCATAAAACCCCACTCCAAAACCTCCAAACTCTCCCTTTAACGCTAACTAATAAGCAACGCAACATTAAACTGACAGATTGTGGCTTTCATTTTGACGTATTGTTCTTAATAAAGATGGAGGATAGACGTGCTTCAGTGCCGAGGTCACAGCCACAGTCTTCGTCCTCCACTGGCATGTTTCCCAGCTACCGGAGAAACAACTCATCAAACAAACATCCTAGACCTCTCCTCACGTCTCCCCTCTGACAGTGGCATCTGGTTTATGCATTCCGCGCTGTGCTGGGAGGACAGACTTGTTAAAAGGGGGATGAGTGCTCTGATATACAGCCTGCCTGGTGAAGACTGGTGGAGATACCTCAATCCCATCTCAGTCACGAATGCCCCAGCACACGGTGTTCCCCACC